GATTAATTATGGCTATAATCAAAATAAATGGCAGGGTGATAGATCTCATCCACTCTTCTGAGCAAAACTCATAAATTTAATAAACTCAGACCGAAAGTTCGAATGGTTCTGGTGAAGGCTTTACTTTTAATAAACCATTCATCAAGGCCTATTATCTCAGATAATACAGAAATACAAAAGTTTATTATGTGGTTCTGAGCGTTGTGAAACATCTTTCCAAATAGATATCAAATCTTGAGAAATGGCTTGAATGTAAAGTTAAAGTGATTATGGTTTAGGACAGAGTCTTGAGAAAATTCTGTCGCCCATACATCATATTTTCGAATAGGGGTTATTGATTGAACTTGAAAGGTCTCTCGGTTAAGGAGGTCATTATGTCGAATAGATACCCTGTATGATTTTATTAAGTTTGTACATTATATATATAANCTGTATATATAGTGTTCGGCTACTCGTGTTACAAAATTTGCCAGAAGATGTACGTTCTAAAAGTCCTAACTATGGTCCGAATCTCAACAGGTTTGGAGTTATTTCACTTTTTCTTATTTTTCAAGATTTCACGACTTTGCTGCAAATAAACAATGATAACACGAAAACTGAAAGGTTTTAGTCAAATCCGTCGATACCATTGAAAACCACATTAAATTTCCTATAAGATGTGATCGATGCCAAACTTGTAAACGTTCGTGAAATAAGTGTTTTATTTAATTTAACTATGGTGATTCTAAACTACTATTTCCAAACATACAGACCAGCAAATCTCAGCAAACGTACTCCATTGAATATCCTTTTAGTTGTTCAATTGTTTTTTAAATTACTTTTTCAAAGATGAAGAAATTGATGAAGAAAAGGAAAAAACCGTGGTTAAAAGATTGGTAAGGTGGAAAGATTAATAATAATAAAAACTAAAAAAAGGGAATTTTAAATGAATTTATTAAACGTTTTTTAATTTTGATTCGAAATGCTCTCCACCCTCCGCAATTTTCGACGCGCTGCCGTTGAGTTTTGGAGTTATCATTGTTTATTTGAAACGAGGTCAAATCTTAAAAAATCATAAAAAGTGGAATAACTCCGAAACTGCTTAGATTTGGACCTTACTTATTTAGTACTTTTTGGTTCCATTTTGAATGTAGAATATACGGGCAAAGTTTGCAATACGAGTAGTTGAACACCCTGTATAAAAAAAATATGTGGGTTATCATTTTCGTCCCGTTCCCAACGTTCACACTATGGCCAGAACTGCACTCAAAAAGCACATGTTACGAAATACCAGCCAACGCTGTCATTAAATATGAGGAATAAAGAACGAGGTCTCGAGGCCATCGTCGTTTCTACTGACATGCTTGTCCTTAGTATGTACAAAGTATAGAGAACTTTTGGAAACGACATCGGATCAGTTTGTTTAGAAAAAGAATGAGTAGGTCGTTACGGATAGTTCACTTAGTGACATTTTAATATGCTTATACAATTTATCTGAGAACTTTTGTGTTAAAGGATTGGATGCGGCAAATATGGGATGGTTTGGCTGAACCTTACAGTCCTACTACTATGGCCAAAATGTTCACAGTCATGTCTTGTATAGAGTTAGTTGAGTCTGTACAGTCAAAACATATTTTTGTCTTAAAAGTCTTTGTAGTTGTTCAAGTCTTCTGTTACGTAATTGTCTCTTCTGTGGGGATTCCATTTCAAGCTGCTGTCTAGATATTATCCTAAGCATCTGATCCTGATTTTAATTTAAGTCGGTAGTTATAAGTTATTAATGTGTAGTGATGTGAAAACGTTTTTACAATGTAAATATACATATGTATATTTTTTTCATACAAACTTGTCCTCAGTTAAGAGTTGAAGGAACTGCCCCAGCTGACTCTGCATTACGAGTTCATACAAACCCGGCGCTAATCTTAAACAGCGCGTATTTCTCCCCGTTTTTCGGACGTACGACATCCTTCTGACTTTTCTGTTCTGTAATCTTCTCTGTATGTTTTAAAGTAAATAAATCTTTTTTTTAACGGCCTTTGGTGTTCCAAACTTATAACTCTCGACGTTTTCTATCAGTTTTTGATAAGCTCAAGGTGATTTTGGATACTTACGGTTGCTTAGATGGTATTCCAGTTAGAAAACGCATAGACGATAACGATGAAGGTGAATTGTGGTCAGCACTATAAATGGTGTACCTAGAATGCTCCCTTGTGAAACGCCGGCATATATTGGTCTAATATATGAATCCTCCTTGCCAAACCTCACTGCATTAGCAGTTATTTAACGTAATAAGAAATGGGTAGAAAACTGAAAACTTTATAGGGTTAAACAAGAAGCCTAGGTGCCAGGCCCAAACAAAAGATCTACATATCCATACATCCAAAGAGTCAGATACACTCTCAAGCAATACTCTTCGTACTCTAGAGCGTCGAATAAAAGGTTAATAATTTTGAAAACTAACTCAATCTTGGAATGATAAGGAAAGAAGCCAAAATAATGAGAAGGAATGATTTCGATTGAATCTGTTTTAAAAAGAGTCTTAAGGAATTCTAAAATTAAATCGAACACACTCGTATTTATGATAATAGTTAATTATTGACTTTAGTGTATTCATATTAAAAATCTAGCGATATATCATTTTCGTCTAGGAAATATATTAATTATTTTTAATTGACGCTTCAAACAGCGTTTTAATTGGGAGGAGACCAAGTTTCTAAGCTTCAATTTTATTTTTTGTTTGTTGCTGTAAGTTTCTTAATACGAAGGAAGTACTCCATGGAAGTAGGAAAAGCTCAAAAGGAATATTTTTGTGTTTTGGCACAAATCTCTTGACAATAAATATTAATGTGGCATGTTAATTATATAATTAAAATTTCCTCACTTTCAGAACCAATGTTGCTATTCATTGTAACATATAGCATTTCTGTTTCTCAATCATGCGTCATTCTCTTTCTTGTTATATTTGAAATGTTAGGGCGAAGATTAACACTCTTCCGTCGAGAAAGTTCCTTCCGAAGTTTCCCAGTGAACTCATGTGTAACTGACTTTGAAGTCGATGTTAGTCATGTTCAATTGATTCGTGCCGATAGAACAAGAAGGGAGAACTTCCTCATATGCTATCGAACCTCACCTTACGGAACCATACTTCATACAATTTCGAATCTATTTTCCCTATAGATGTTATACGCAAATATTATTTAATTAAAACAATGTCATCACTGAATCACTTCAATATGTTAGTTTCATTGTATTTTATTGTGTGACTGATAGTCAATGATTATTCGGAGGTCGTGAAATGGGGTCTGGTGTGACGTAGGTTTTAGAAAAACATTTTCTTTATCGTGCCAACGTTTCGATTTTTATTGAGATCATCTTCAGGGCCTGGGATTTATAAACATTGTTCAAGTTTTAGAAATACATAGGAAATAACAATAATAATAAAAATAATAATGAATTTATACAATGCAAAAAAATTTTTGATTAAAAAAATGAATTTATACAATGCTAGAAAATGTAGATTAAAAAAATGAATTTATACATTGATAGAAAATTTAAGATTCAAAAAAATTAATTTATACAATGCTTTGAATCTAAAATTTTCTAGCATTGTATAAATTCAATTTTTTAAATCTTACATTGTTCAAATTTTAGAAATACATGTAGGAAATAATAATAAAAATAATAAAGAATTTATACAATGCTAAAAAAAATTTTGATTAAAAAAATGCATTTATACAATGCTAGAAAATGTAGATTAAAATAAAAATTAATAATAATAATAAATTTATGCAATGCTAAAAAATTTAGATTAAAAGAAATGAATTTATACAATGCTAGAAAATTTAAGATTCAAAAAAATCAATTTATACAATGCTATAAATTTAAAATTTTCTAGCAATGCATAAATTCAATTTTTTTAATCGAAAATTGTTTAGCATTGTATAAATTCATTATTATTATTAATTTTTTTAATCTAAATTTTCTAGCGTTGTATAAATTCATTTTTTCACATCCTACATATATCTGTAAAATTTAAACAATGTTTATAAATCCCAGGCCCTGAAGATGGTTCAATAAAGATCGAAACGTTAGAACGATAAAGAAAATATATCAATTACTTAAGGTTTTTAGTTAAGATAAAAAAGTTAATGGCACGAGCCCATCTGGGGTTGAGATGGGAAGTTGATGTCCGAGTGGATCGAGGTCACGATATCTCAAGTGGTAGAGCAGCAGCTTATCTAGCCGAAGATCGTGGGTTCGAATCCCGCTCGTGCCATTGACTTTTTTATCTCAACTAAAAACTTTAATTAATTGTGACATATTAATTGGTCAAGCGGACCACGAAATTAGTGATGATAAAGAAAGTGTTTTTCTAAAACCTACTTCACACCAAACTGCATCTCACGATCTCCAAATAATTATTTCATTGTTTTAAGAATGTTAATAAAGTAAAAGAAAAGGTTGAATAAAATGGTTTGGATGAAAACTGTAAATTTCAGTTTAATTATTAGTATCGTGACGATAACGCGAGAATTTCGCCTTGAAATGATTTCGTTGCAAATCACACCAATTAATTATATAGCCTTAACAATTTATGTTAATAAGATCACGCGGCAAATAAAACCGAATAAAAAGCGGAAGAATTTTCTCGTTTGAGAAACGTTACAAAATTGATAATAATTTATAATTACAAGGCTTAAGACCAAGCTGAGACGGAAAGTAATGCAATAATAAATCTTCGTTGTTAGTACCGCAGTACAACATCCGCTAAATGTTGTTTTTTCGTTCCTCGTTACACTTTTGACCCTATTCCTATAAATGACTACATTTGTATTCTCGGATCGTTACAGCGTTACACTTGTTTTACTCCGGAACAGTTGTATGAATTTTGAATAACAATTGTAATGCGGTATAATGCTATAAATAGACGTTCGCGTTCAAATCTAAATTTTCTTCTTTTATCGGTTCATGCAATTTATTTTTTTATGCGAAATTTCTAATAAGGTTTTAATTTGTTGCAGGTTGTTGTGGTTGCTTTATCGTGATGGTTCTCTTACCGGAAAATGAGTAAGTCACGCTATGCTCGTGGAAATCCTGGTGATTCTGGTTGTACTGCCGCGGATACCCGGCGACTGCCCTCCACAGTGCGAGTGCAAATGGAAAAACGGGAAGGAATCCGTCATTTGCGTCAACGGAAACCTGACGAGAATCCCAGGCCAGTTGGAGGCTGGTACCCAGCTTTTAGATCTTACTGGAAACATTTTGATATCTATTGCCAAGGACGCGTTCAAAAACGCCGGACTTCTGAATCTGCAAAAAATCTACATCGCGAAGTGTCGCATAAGGACGATGGACAAATACGCCTTTCGTAAAATTATCAACCTCGTCGAGTTGGATTTGAGTTACAATTCTCTCAACACCGTTCCTTCACACATATTCGATTCTATTTCCAAACTGAGAGAACTGAAACTCAACGGCAATCCGATTCAAAAGATAGGTAACGATGCATTTTCAAGCGTGCCTCTCGTCAAATTGGAGATATCCGATTGCAAACTGGCCAGCTTGGATCCAAACGCTTTTGCCGGGCTGGAAAACTCGTTAGAATGGTTGAAAGTAGATCGGAATCGGTTGAAAGAAATTCAACCGACGACTTTGACGAGCCTTTTGAGCCTCCATGGTCTGGAATTGTCATCTAACCCGTGGAACTGTTCTTGCGTTTTAAGACCACTCCGGCAATGGATGCTGAATAATAACATTCCCACATCAGTCCCTCCCCTCTGTAAATATCCATCTCGCATAGAATCTAAATCTTGGGATAAACTGTCTGTCGACGAGTTCGCATGCAGCCCCGACATATCCCCAGTTCGGCCTAGTGTCAAAACGGAAGAAGGTACAAACGTGTCTCTGTCGTGCACAGTTACCGGCAACCCGTTGCCATCGGTGAAGTGGGTCTGGAAAAACAAGCCGCTCGACAACTCGTCCGCTCACGCCAACAACAAAAAAGTATACACGCTACGCTTAGTGAACAAGAAAAGCACGTTGATCGTACACTCGACGGAAAGTTCAGACGCCGGTGTCTATTTTTGTGTCGCCACGAACAAAGCTGGGAGAGTCGAGGGGAATGTCACACTTTCGGTGACGAAAAAGATTCCCGAGACGAAAATCAGCGGAAAAATGTTATTTGGCTGTTCGGTGGTCGGGTTTCTGCTCCTCGTCGCGACCTGCCTCCTCCTCTGTCTTCTCGGGCAGCCGAGAAAAGAAAGCAGAGCTACGAAAGCGGAGAGCTACGAGAAAATCGAAATGGACAAAAAAGGAGATTGCATCAATGATATATCGGTTTCGAACAAAATACATCCGACCATGGGCGAATACAGAAGCATCCCGACGTTCGAACAAGGAGAGGGTGACGACGAAAATGGAAGTCCAAACAGTAACCACTCAGATGCTCCCCGTCCAGCAAACAGGCAAACGACAAGGTAACACATGTGAATTATTGCCAAAGTATACAGGAATTGATAAATTTCATATTATTTGGTTTCATAAACACTACTTTTATAGCATATACATAAATCGTACTTTACAAATAACAAAAACAGTATGATTTATAAAAATTATGAAAATCTAAAACCAAACCAATAATTTTTTTTAAGTAATATAATTGAAAACTACATTAAAGTAAGTAACAAGGGCTGAATGAATATATAAGTAAATTTCACAACCAGAACCTTATGGTTGCAGTACCAAGAGAAGCTAGTGACATTGGATCACCTTTTTTTGTGATACTATTTAAAAAATACTACAATTTTCAATGTTAGAAACGACCACTTTTTCACTCACAAACACTCAGGATCATGGTATGGTCTTGAAGAAAAATTTAGCTGTTACTGCCAAGCTTTCGACCTATTTTAAGGTCATCATCAGGCCCTATATTAATGATATAAAAACATATTTGTACAATTGATTTAATAATCAATATAACTATATAGAACTTACAAAAAATTTCAATTAATTATTATTTTTATCTAAGGTCTTGGTTGCGATGGAAAGTTCATAATATATAGTGTCATGAGTGGGATTCGTACCCACGACCTTCGACTCAATACGTAGCTGCTCTAACCTCTTGAGCTATCAGAACTTCGATCCACCCGGATACCAACTCCTCATCTCAACCTAAATACAACCTTTCGCATTTTCCCTCTTTTGCCATTTTTCATAGCTTACAAAACAATCTTAATTTTGTCTTCAGATTGGCATATTTTAGTTTTTAATATATGTTCTGCCGATAATCTTAAAATAGATAGAAAGCTTGGTAGTAACAAGTAATTCGCTTTTTTTTCTTCAAAACCATACCTTGATCCAGATTGCTCGCGAAAGAATATTACGCACATGTCCGGGCGTTCTTGCCAATGTGATTTACCAATTTACCAGAAATTGATTTTAAAAATTAAGTAATTTATATAGTTTTTTAATGCGTTTTTCTGCCGGTGGTACATTTATTTCAATGGTTATTATTACTGTTCTTGATTTCATCTAAATTCAAAGTTACAACAACCGTTGGAAAGCTGGAATAATCTAATTTCAAAACCGATAAAACGTCTAGATTTTATGCCATTCAAGTGAAAAAATAATGATTGAATCAACAAACATTTTTTTTATCTTCGGTTCTAATTTAGTTACGAAGCGATATTTGTACCATTGTGTATAGTTTATAAAATCCGAAACACCTGTAAGGCTTTCTCTATATCAACAGATTGGTATCAACATCAGTTATCCAAGTTAACACTATCATCAATCAAAGTTATCGCCATTTGTATCTTTTTCGAAAATAATGGAAGCCCAATCATTGTAAAAAAAACCTTTGAGGAAAAAATATTCATGGGTTTTGGGTAGCAAAACCAAAGGTGATATTTGTTTTTTGATAAACAAAATAGGTTAGCCTACTTGCTATAGTGCTAAAATTATGTATTTCAATATCTCCGATACCCATGCTAAGGCAAGGTGCCAAATGCAATTTTAACGTAATGGCCAAGCGACTTATCAGAGTTTGGTAAGAGGGTCAAAATATTTGTTTAGCAAAACACACAATTGATGTTCATTTTTGTACACCGCGAAAGCTTCTGAATGCTAATTTTTGAGATTTTTAAATTTTTTCACATTTAAATTGATTTATAATTTTTATGTAAAGTATTTTTCATATTGTTGACTTCATGTTAGCGTTGTAGACCGGGCACTGGTATTTTATTGTTTATTTCAAATTATACATTTTTTAACGTTCTAATAATTACAACATATTTATTTTAATCAAAACCAAATAAAAAAAGATCAGAAATTCACGAGTTTTATTCCAAATTGTTTACTAATTTATGATAGTATTAAAGAAAATTCACTACAACGCTCTGATGACTATCGCTTTTAGGCTAATGCTAAAAAAATCACATTAACATGATCCTGCATGATTAATTCTTACCAACCAAATCAACAAAAATTGGAGATGAGCAATTAAGATGAGCTTTTAAGTTTAGCATTTATTTAATCTCATTTAATATAGCCCAGCATAATATTTTTTATCCTATGAAAAATAATAAATCAAATCATATCTATATAAAAATGGTCTCGTAAAAATGCAAAACATAGGCCAACGAACATAATTTAAAAAATGTCTTAATTCGAATTTTTAAATTCACTTCTCCTAGGAAGAATACTCGGGCTCGTGTATAATATTTCTCAACTTTTCAACCTGTTTCAAACAAAACATATTAATGTCCATTCCATGTCCTAGCTTACTCTTAATTAAAGTTTAGGAATGATTGATTTTAATGAAAATGGTTTTTATGACAAAGGCGATAGTGAATTTTATTCGGATCTTAGTCATCGGAATCATCCGAAATAGTAAAATTGGATATTTAGATTTCACTGTTAAGTAAATTTTATCATATAGACAGTCAGCTTTAGTCTTCAAAAACATACAGAATTGTTCGTAGTTCTAGTTTTTAGTTTCATAATAGGAAGTTGTGTTGTATACTCAAAACCTGGTTTCTCAACCAACCAACAACAACCAAAACAAAAAATGTGCTGAATCTAATATTCATAACCATGCGACATTACTGAAAAGATGATCTAGTAGATATTTTATTTGTGCGTACACTTGAGAGCCAACTAAATATCTTCAGCCCTATACGTTTTTAAATATGGAGATGCATATTATAATTCATTTTATAATCTGAAGTTTTCATTGAAATGTAAAGATCCATATTATATTTGCACATAATGATGAAGTATTATTCATGAGGAGTAGAGTGTTTTGCAAAGCCATAACAATTTTATCATGACGATATAAGTTCTGGGACAAAAACATAGCCTACCTTAATAATTTGGATATGTTAAACTTTATCGTTTTAATTAATTTATTAATCCGAAATAACTTTATTTGTTGCATTTTAAATGTTTCTTAGTAATTATTTGCCAGAAAAATAATTCTCCGTGAAAATATAATAGTAATATATTTTTTTTTTTTCGAGGGTTCGCAACAGCAGAGGTTATAACAACCCTAGGGGTGCCGGTGTTTTTGAAAAAAAGCCCATTTGTAAGTATCTCGGGTTCGAATGCAGGACCGCTAGATTCGAACACGGGACCTTTACCTTACAGTGATGAGCGCCGTGTCAACGCCTAAACCTATGTGGCCACCGACGCCCCCTTAGTAATATTATTATAATATTAATAGAAAATATTTATTTTGGGATGAAACAAAAGATAACACAGTCAGATAGATATTATCTTCGGAATATTTTTATTAAAACTTAAATTAAATTTTTTTTAAACATATAAAACGAATAAAAAATTATTTATGATACCTAGCATAGCCTCTACCTTGTTTTAGCCTTGTTAGCTTCCATTTGGAAGGTCGTAGAGGCAACGAATATCTTCAAAATAATTCATTCTTCCCATACTCCCTGGATCGAGTGTTTCATCTATTCTAAAGTGCTCAAAAATGAATATGGATTTCGTAAGATTTATTTTCCTTATCATTTTTACTTTATTTTTATTATAAATTGCATTAAAATTTATTAGAAATTATTATGTTTTTTACTCAAGGTAAATTTAATTAAGGAATTTTGAAAAATAACAAAATTCCATAGGTTTGAATTCCATAATTTTGTTTATTGAATACATAATATTTTTCAAATACTTAATACCGTGTATAATGTCCTCTGTTACCTGAAAACTCAATGCTCCTGTTAGGTATACTGTTAATAAGGTTGTCACTAATTTCATAAGGAATTTCTCTTCATGGATGTTGCAACGCTGCACTCAGTTGTTGCAGGTCAACTGGCTGCGGATGGTGATAGAAAAGCCTTCTCTGCAACGCGCCCCACATCTGCTCATTGGAGTTGAGGTCTGAAGATAATGGGGAATGGAGCAGATGGGAAAGTTCCAGGTTTTCTAAACATTGATGAATAACTCTGCCTCTATTAAGTCATTGTCATCCACAAATTGGAAATCCCAGCCAATGAGACCCCTGGTTTCAGGGATGTATTCTGCGATAATTTTTTGGACATAACGGGCGGTGAGGTTGCTTTCAACAATATGGAATCCAGTTCGTCCTTCAGTGTAAATCCCAGCCCAAACCATTACACCGCCTCCTCCAAACTGCACTGAAGGAGCACGAATTGGGGCATAGTACCATTGTATACATCTTCTTTTCTAATTAGACTCTTCGGTGCCTGCTGTCATCGTACATACTGAAATGCGACTCATCAGTAAACTATTCTTAAGTAAATCCGGTATTAAAATGCGAAATGCAAAAACAAACAAATGAAAATTGACATTTGTTTGTTTTTGTTTTTATTTTCTATTTTGTTTTATCCAACAAACAAAAATATATCGGTTAATTTAATTCATATTAAGAATAAGAATAAATCAAAAATATTCATTTTTGAGCAGTTTATGTTCTGGAAATGCAGCCCTGAAAAGATCCCCATACTTTTTCAATTATATTAAAAATCTGGAGACCTTGCTGGTCATGCCAAAACATAATTTTTTCTATTCAAACCATTTACCATTTTTGCTGTATAAACAGGATAATTGTCCTGCTAAAGTGCAATTTATTCTCTTGTGTGTGGTGATTAGTGACCGTTAATCGATAATTCTTCAGAAATCGTGAGATGCGGTGTGGTGTGATGTAGGTTTCAGAAAAACATTTTCTTTATCGTTCCAACGTTTCGATCTTTATTGAGATCATCTTCAGGGCCTGGGATTTACAAACATTGTTTATGTTTAACAAATACATTTAGGATGTGGAAAAGTGAATTTATACAATGCAAAATATATTTTTTACATTCAATCAAAATATTTTTATTTTTCTACTTTACACTTTGAGTGAGTAAAAATACTTTGATTGAATATAAAAAATATATTTTGCATTGTATAAATTCACTTTTCCACATCCTTAATGTATTTGTTAAATATAAACAATGTTTGTAAATCCCAAGCTCTGAAGATGATCACAATACGGATCGAAACATAGGCACGATAAAGAAAATATTTTTCTGAAACCTACATCACACCACACCGCATCTCACGATTTCTGAATAATTAATTTATTCACTTGGTATTCTCTCCAAGTATGTTGTCAATTGATTTTATGTTACTTATAAATATTGCATGCTGTTCATTCTCCTAGAAACAAAAACACTTTCTGTTACTACCGTATACATCACACTACTTGCCTTTTGGAAAATACCATTTTTTTCTTTCAGTTGTCGTGGAAATAATATGCACAACCATCAGGGCCGTAGTGGTCACGGGCGAACTGTTTATGGCATTACTTATGAACTTTATTTAGCTGTAGTATCTGTTTCATTTCCCTCCTCTGGACGTGCGTGGCACCATTTATGACCCACTTTCCGTTTTTTATCTCGATTGACACTCGAGCTCTTGGAGCGATCCATGCTGTCAAACCGGAATTTGAAGCGATCCTCCAAATTGCTCGTTTTTCCCCGCTGGTTAAGACCGATAGCCTACCTTGTAGTTTCTTTTTCCTGAGCCTCCTGGATTATTATAAAAATGACTTTCCTACTCAGTCCGATATTCCTTGATATTTCCGAAATCGATATTCTACGATTTTTCATTCTGAATATTATTTCAATTAATATGGTCAATTATGACCGCTAACATATATGCTCAAAAAGTGTCAAACAACTAGCACGACGAATTAAAAATGTTTCTATTAATAAAACAAGCTGAGTTTTATTACTTGGTCCACAATTGGATTTAGGCATTATTTTTATTTACAAACATCAGATGTGCTATCTTTTTGTCTCACCTCTAACTCAATATTTGCTGTTATTTTCAGGATTAAAATTGTACTACCAATTAAGTAACTCGTTTCTATTAAAATTTCGCTGAAGAAGATTTAAGAAAAACATTATGAAACACAAAATCCTAATATATAGGCAAAATACTAGGGTGGCCTATCTTTTTGTCCCGGATATTACATTTTGTGATTCGTTTTTATGGATTATAAGTGGTTTCTATTGTAATATTTTTTAACAACTCACTTTTGGATTATTAAGTAAATAACGGGAAGTTGAAAGACGAAATTTTTGCATATTTTACAAGCGTGGGACTCAACCTGTCTTTAAAACGGACGTTGGGTCAGAACTGCTCAATGATCAAACGGTCTAACGTACCGGCAGAGTTTAACAAAACTTTCACGTTGTCGCTTAGTCAAAAATGTTTGATAACAAAAGACACTATTGTAATATCCGTTGAGTTCCTAATAAAGTTGCCGATTATTCATGGGAAAATGTGATACAAGCTGTGAAATATTATGTCAGAGTACGGATACTATTCTTTAAAGTATAAAGGGAAAAGAAACATTTATTTTTATTAAATTTATTACTTTCCGTGGTCCGCTTGACCAATTAATTTCATTCAATTAATTACGGTTTTAAGTTAAGATAAAAAAGTCAGTGTCACGAGCGGGATTCGAACCCACGAAATTCGGCTTGTTACACCGCTATTCTACCACTTTACCGCTATATCCCATATCAACCGCACCTTTTGAATTTCCCTCCTTTTTACCATTTTTCAAATGTGTAATCTATTTGATTCTCGGCGACAAGTGAAATGGCCACGGAAGTTAGTGCCTGAGGGGATCGAAGTCACGATAGCTCAAGTGGTAGTGTAGCGGCGTCGAAGGTCGAGGGTTCGAATCCCGCTCGTGATACTGACTTTTTTATCTCAACTTAAAACCGTAGTTAATTAAAATTTATTTTTATATATCTTTTGAAAAAAGATTATTGACTGTAGTTTTAAATCTTTCTTTTTTTAAATTTTTTATTTAGTGTATTGAACGTTTTTAAGGGAGTTGAGCGCTAGTAAGCTGTACTGCCAGCTCGGCGGAGTCCAACCTCATATTCTGAGAAAGGAGGTGCTCCCGACTGCCAGCTTGTACACGACGGCTATTTCGGAAGAGCGAAACTACCCGGACCTTGTCACCTACCCTCCGACGTCTAATACAGCCCAATGCTCGGCTACTTTACCTAGGTAAGAAATAAAATCTTCCCATCGACTAGTGAAATAACTAAGCCGAGCGTTTCAGGTCGAAAATATGGTACCCGATGGTCTCGAGCAGCCAATCGCCCCTCCTGGCCGGAAGCAGATGCGGAAGCAGCGCCGGCGAGAGTTCGGGTTCTAACAGACGATTTTCAGCCGAATCGAGATCTTCCTCTAATTACAGGTTTGAAAAGTAATACTATTAACTAACTAATTAATGTACGAGCGTTCAGAGTAGATATCTGTCGGTCTAATCTTTCAATTTCCTTCATCATTTCACGCCGACTGACCACCCGTCAATATCCCTTTGCCAGGCATCTATATCTTCTTCGGCAGCTTATAATCTCGCATCTTCTGCAGTTTTATTTCTGAAAGTGTGCAGATATTAACTTCGCTGAAGGACTTTTTGAGATTGATATTCTTACAGATCCAATTTGTGTGGTGGTTTACCAGGCTGAAGATAAATTGACGTTCTTCTTTTTTTCGAACCTTTTGGATCATCTCACTCTGGTACATTTCCACTGGCCTAATTATCGTCTTTTAAATTATGTTTTACGTAGTTAGATGCAATGCTTGTTAAAGCATTTTATTCATCTCTAAGCGATATCTGCTACCCTCTGCTGTCGTGAGCTATAAGTGATACTTTACAATGCCTTAAATTGTGCTCTTAAATAGGGACTCACTTTTCTCTGCACGCTTTAGTCCTTGTCGTTCTTATATATTTTGTCTTATGTTCATCATCAAGCCTTTGCTTTAAACTCTTTTAACACTCCTGAAAAGCTGGTACTGTTCACGCTGTGATCGTCACAGGTCATATGTTTGTCTGTTGTAAACACTCCTTCTGGGGTTAGTTCGGATTGGTTTTAGCTTTCTTGAGGACAAGGTTGAATGAATGCAATGACTAGCAGGGTCTACTTGTCTCAGCCCACCTGTCATTTATTATTTTATTTAGTTGTACTTACCTTCACATTTTATTTTGTATCGTCGTATAAATCAGTTATATCCCTAGTCACCTTTTCCCTCTCGACAGAATCTTATGTCTTTTGATATTGAAAAACAAATAAAGGAACACGTTTGTACATTATTTATACTTACCCTGCCTAAAACTACACTCGTAAGTCCTAATAACCCTCTCAGCCCACCTCATTAATCTCCGGTTCATTGTTATGGAGAGGTCCCTTTATTAAGTTCATTAGTTTTCATATGTCATCGTGTCCCCGTTTCTGTACAATTTGATCTACATAAACCGTAACAAGATATATACCAGCGTCAGAACCGCCTGCCCCCATATCCTTGGACAACAAAATTTTCGAGCAATCGTTTCTATTATCTCTTCTTGAAAGACGTAATTCCTTCATTCTTTTTGTATGACTATCACGCAATTATTCTATCATAGGTATATTCAATAAACTCTGAATATAACTCATTTAACTATAAAAAATTTCTGATTATTTCAAAATAAATTTCTTTCTTTATCTTTACAATATACTGCACGACTTACTACTAAAGACAAATATACCTTGCGTTAACTGAAGAATCGTAAATATTGATGAACTCACTTATGACGTCTCTATTTCTTCTTAAACTTCAAAAACAAAATACGGAACCACCAATTTGCCAAAACCATAGCACTATTCAACATGGGTTGTATATGTCATGTGGATACTATTGCCCTGGTTCTTGACGTGGCGCAAGTGTTTGATCTAGTCAGGCGCCCTAGGCGTTTTCTCCAACTCAAAGGATCTCCTCCCTTCAACCTATTAACTGATCCTCTGATCTTAAGATCCTACCTGTCCGACAGATATCACCAAGTCAGATAAGATGCAGATCTTTCCTCTTTCTTTCCTTTCGGAGCTAGAGTATCGCAAAGAATCATCCTAGACTCTTCGATATGCTTTATATACTGTCACATCCCACTACATCCCTCTAATCCTAACACGTTCCTTGGTACATTAGGAGACGGCACAATGACGAACTCCAGCTAAGCTACTGCCAATATCACAATCTGAACGATATCCAACAAGGGACCAAAAACTAAAGAATAAAAAAACAACTTAAATTCACTAGTTTTCGTGGTCCGCTTTACCAATTAATATCTTACAATTAATTAAGGTTTTTTGTTGAGATAAAAAAGTCAGTGTCACGAGCGGGATTCGAACCCACGACCTTCGGCTAGATACGCCGCTCTACCACTTGAGCTCGTGACACTGACTTTTTCATCTCAATTAAAAAGCTTAATTAATTGTAAGATATTAATTGGTCAAACAGACCACGAAAACTAGTGAACTTAATATGTTAAAATGAAGTACAATTCAATAAAGCTCTTCGTGGCCATTTCATTTGTCCCCGAAAATCAAATAGATTACACGACATTTGAAAAATGGCAAAAAAAAGGGAAAATTGAAAGGTGGAGTTCGGATGGAGTGTCCGAGTGGATCGAAGTCACGATAGCTCAAGTAGTGGCGTATCTAGCCGAAGGTCGTGGGTTCGAATCCCGCTCGTGACAGTGACTTTCTTTATCTCAACTAAAAACCTTAATTAATTGTAAGATAAAAAACAACCAAAATAAATAAATTAACATAACCTTTGCCCTTCTATGTCCAACACAATCGATTACTGATGACCGCAGGCAGTAAAATATGTAGGCCTGTTTCTCGATAACATACTAACATGAAACTCCACACAAGACTGGAAATTCAGCAGTAACAACCTATACAAACCTCTTACTCGTGTACCAGAAAAGCATTCAACAACGAACAAAGCGTAAAAAAAGTAAGTAATTTATAAGACAGTACAGAATAGAAATTTTGAGATGACCAAACGCTCCAATTCCTAAGGAATTCAGTCCCTGGAATCTACAATTCTCCTTAAGTTCATGCTACGTACCGATCCTTACAGTCCGCAACGATTTCCAAATTCCTTTTGCCAAATAACTCATAAATTCCCGTTAGTAAAATTCCATAACTCATAAGAACTTTACATTAGCCAACTTGTCCAAAATAATTCTCCTTACAAAATTATTTCAACTCTAGATTATGGCACAAATGCATGCAAATTTTTAAAAATTCTTTACAATATGAGGACTTTGAAAAATGAAGACTTGTTTGCAAATACAACCAATGTTAAAAAAATATATATATAGTACCGCAATGACGTTTTAAACCGGGCTACTTCTTGACCAAGGCTGTTTTTGAGAGAAACTGCGGTTTTAAAAAATTAAGAAAATTGAAAAAAACGGATTTATTAAAAATCAAATTTAAAAAAACTTCATTCTTCCACACACTGCTATTATGTATATTCTCTTCCTTACTAATGGAAATAGCTTCATCTCAGGTCTAGGATGAAAGAAGCAAGTGTTTACATCCCGGGAAGTTTCAGACAGGTACAAAGGTAATAGGCAATAAGGATCTGATGACTGCAACTTTTAACTTATTCATTGAGTGATTTTCTCAAGTTTCTATTATTAACTCTCTTCTTTCTTCTACCAGCTTTGATATTGTTCTTTTGTAATCCTTTTTCATGACCCTCAGTTTTGATTTATTTTTTAATAGCTCATTCACATTATTGGTCATATTAATCGTTTTTCAGTGATGGTTCTTCCCTCACACCTCACCTGTCATACTCGTCAACACTCGCATTGAAAAGATTATTACCTTGGGCAAAAACTTCATCCCTGTTTTCAATGTTAAAATACTGTATTTACTTGATTGTTCGTTATTGAATAGATTGGAGTACCCTCTTGATTTAGAATTTGCAACCGTTGAAATCAGAATGATATCAGGACAATTTTAAACAGGCTGCCGGGCAAGAGCTGCGAGCGGTCGGTGAGTTCGCTGAACCTCTGCATCGAACCAGAAATAAGTTGTTCGCAGACGAGGCAGAAGTCCTGGCACCACCCGAGCCTCCCGACGTCTCCAGTGAGGTACCACATGGCTCATAAATACGATTCTAACGCAGTAAGTACGCTTCGAATACTCACAATTTATTTGGCTTCTTTTTGTTTATTTTATTGTACTTTTAGGACACTAGCGAAACCCCGATTCTTAACTTGCTGGGAAGTGCCGTCTACGACTATCACGCCGCTCAATTGGAACGTTTCCTAGAAGAGTACCGCTCCCTCCAGGACGAGCTGAATCGTATGAAGGAGACGTGCGAGGGTCTGAAGGAAAAGTCTATCGAAAAACCCGCCCTCTCGGATTTTTCCTCTTATCGTTACACTTCGAATTCCATCTACAACGATCTCTTCCGCAATTGAACTAAAGGTGATTTCGTACAGAAAAAAATTAATGTATGAATAAGTGTTCGAGGAAACAATGTTTTCCATATGATAGTTTTTATGTATAAAATCCAATCATAATATTAAAATTAAATTAATAAGAAATTAAGCTGGAAAGCGACCAATGAACGAAATTCTTCTGTAAGAATTATGAATTTATGTCATTCTTTTTCTGTATGTTGTATATATCGTTTATAATAATAAATACACTATTTGATCTCACGACATTATTTGCTTCATTGGTATAAGCTCTCACCTAGCGGTTAGTATCGAAATGAAACTCACGTTGCAGCTCCCAAGGGTCAGTTGTAAGGCCCGCATTGTTTAATCTTTATTATCGGGGACCTCTATAACATTCAAACAAAATTTTAGGTTTTGTTGGTCTATGACACAGCTTTTATTCTGTTTATTACACCCGTCTTACAGAATTGACCCCATTTCAATTAAACTAAGTGAACATTAAGAAATTCCATAGTCAAATCCCAAAGGCTTCAACAGGAAATTTAATAATTTAACTATTCTCCAACCGCCTAAACAATGTATATCAGACCAAGGTACAGTAAAAGTAATGTCATATTATTTATGTTTGAAGTATTACATTTTAATGTATATTATTTGAACAATACTTGGGCTAGCTCGGTAACGAATAGTCTACTTCAAAATTGTCCAAAACCAAGTCTATTTGTAAGTTTGTCAAATGCAAAAGCGTAGATATAAAATAGATAATAAAAAAATTCTTAAAAACGGTACCCTATTATAGGCACACAATTTATAAAAGGAGATGATTATTTTTTTATGAATTGGAAATCCCCAGGTTGTCAAGAGAAGAGGGTGCCATGAATCACCTTCTAAAGTATAAATCAGTAAAAGTATTGGTTGAGATAAAAAATTCAGTGTCTTGAGCGGGATTCGAACCGACGACCCTCGGCTAAATACGCCGCTGCTCTACCACTTGAGCTACCGTCCACTCGGACACCAACTTCCCATCTCAACCCCACCTTTTGAATTTTCCCTCCTTTTTGCCATTTTTCAAATGTCGTATAATTCGATTCTCGGCGACAAATGAAATGGCCACGGAGAGCTTTCGTGATGTGATATACTTCATTTTACTTTTTAAATTCATTAGAGTTCGTGGTCCGATGGGCTGAATAACATTTTTCAATTAATTAATCTTTATATAAGGTATGGGTCGAGATAAAAAAGTCAGTTGAGATGGGGAGTTGGTGTCGGAGTGGATCGAAGTAACGATAGCTCAAGTGGTAGAGCAGCGGCGTATCTAGCCGAGGGTCGTGGGTTCGAATCCCGCTCGAGACAATGACTTTTTTATCTCAACCTTATATAAAGATTAATTAATTGCAAAACGTTATTCGCTCAATCGGACCACGAACTCTGATGGATTTAATCAGTAAAAGGTTGTGCCCGTAATTATCATTAACTATATGCATTGCTTATATCATTAAAGTTTATGCTTTAAATGGAAGAATCACGATGTAGGTCACAGAATAATTGGAGAGTGCAAATACATTCTATTGGCAGTACAAGTACACCTGATATTTTCTGGATATCAACTAGTAATAATGTTTTTTGTTAATAATGTTTTTTTTAAAAAGCATGCCTTATAACAAAACTAATTTGTGAACTTCATTTTTACAAAGATACAAGAAAAAAGGCAGATTCTATTTCCACGCTTTTTTCGGCGTTTGATTAAGTTAATAAGATTGGAATTAGAATTTCTCACTGTATGTTGTTGGCAGCGAATTAGTTAACCGTGTCCGTCCTGCCCAGTTAGACTTAAACTTATCATCAGGTCATTTAACCACCCAAAGTTTTACCTAAACATGTATTCACACTGTAATGAAATTAGTTTGTTAACATGTCTAATTGAATTTGCGCTAAGTAAATTGTACTATTAACGCTTTTCCAGAATCTATTCCCTTCTTTCTGAAAACTATTGCTTTAGTTTAGTTATGCCAAATTCCATTTAGTTGTTTTGTTTTCATTATATTGGATTATCATACAATGCTATGCAGCGTCACAAAGGTTGGTGACATCTATGATAACATCACAAATCCGTTTGAACCAATTTTTTGGCGGGACACGTTACCCTTTGGGTACTGGCACCCCCGTTGTACAATCTCAGTCCATTACGCACATTCCAGCGGGACAGACCTTTAAAATGCCAGATAGCAGTTGCGAGGTTCAACTCGAGAACTAAGTGGTTCCTTGGTTAAACTAAATCCAGGTGGCTCCTGAGGAGGCTGTGAAACCGTAATCTTCCTTCGAGCTAGTGTGAGTGACAATTGCTCTCAGGCGTAAGTAAAACACCTCACCTAGGTCTGTCAGTATTCCATTTTGTAAAATTTTCATAGATTCAAATTATTCCCAGTTTCAATTTTTATTCAACCCAGCCTCCGATCTTTTTTTGTCCAAGAAATTATTAAATACAATTTCATTCATTAATTATATATGAACTGTCCTCGATATTTTGCCAATGCCGCTTTCATTCTGTACAAAATAAAACCTCAATTAAAAAATTGTAGGAAGGGACGGAGCTCTTCTATTTCATTCAAAAATTGAAACAAACAAAGAGTAACTGTTGCGCACAAGCGCAAATTGGATGGCATTCGTACACGCTCTCTATACAGAGCCAAGGAAGGACGATCTACAATTAAGCGTACAAATAGAGCCTATAATTAGTTACAATAGCCTACACAAGGGGCGTCAGTGGCCGCAACGGTTTATGCGTTGACACGGCGCTCATCACTGTTAGGTAAAGGTCCCGGGTTCGAATCCAGCGGCCCTGCATTCAACCCGACATACAAATGGGCTTTTTTCAAAAACACCGGTACCGGGGGTTAATATAACCTCTGCAGTTGCGAACCCTCGTTAAAAAAATCTAAATTTTCATCCAAAAATATCAGTACGTCCAACGCGTACAAGATAGCCTTAAAAATGATAATTCTTTTCTGTGCCATCCGAGTTGTTAATATTTAAGGGCTCGTAGCCCAGCTTGGTATGAATATTAGCATTATGAGAATTAAAATGAAAGAAATAGCTGCTGTGCTAAAGCATACAAATGGATAGCATTCTTAAACGATCTCTATACAGGAAAAAGACTATCTTCAATTATGCTATACAGAATGAGCAACTACCATTACATGACTGACACATAGATGAGCCTCGGCGCTAAAGTTCGTCAGTTCGTCCGAGTTCTTGTCACTTAAAAGGTACGCTGCCGACCTGGCCCAGCTTAGCATGTGTATCAGTAACCATGGAATTCATCTCTTATTTCCCGTGTAAGTAACTGTGATTTTTACCCTATGGGTTAAAAGTAGGTGAAATAGAACAACTTGAATAGATATGAACTCAAACTTATGGAAAATTCACATGGGTTCAACAAATATAGAGAAAGCCTGTGCTAAAATCTAGCTTTGACCGCATTTGATCAAATTATGCCGTCCCATTCTCATCTATGAAGGGCAGTAAAAAAATGTTTCCCCTCATAAAGTGAAAAGTTAAGGAAATACGACGCATCATGAGGATATGGAAAAGTTGGAGAGACCTTTGTATGGCTCCCAGCGGTGGATTAAAGGAAGAAATATAATGAAAGTTTTCTAAACATCCTAGATCACAACGGTTGTAAATATGAAAGTTTATTGTACATTCATGTTTACTTCATTACTACAAACTGAGATAACTTGCAACTCTAATGTTAAATTGTTAATGATCTAATTGATCGATTAAAAAAGCATTAAAAGGCACATTCAGTATTATTCAAATTTTATTTTTCGAATAATTTTAATTAATATGGTGGTAGAAATATTTTAAATCTAGAAAGTTGGTTACTTTTTTAAGTAAACACTATTTATTTTTAAGCAAATTATTTTAATTGTTAATGCATTTCGAGCTAAATTCCTGGTCATTCTCCAGAGCTCAGTATTTAGCCAAATGGAACTCATATTTTACATAAAAATGAATAGTGTGTTGTTCAAAAAAAAAATAATAATCAACTTGTTACATTCAGGATTATTTTGTTTATTAAAGGATGGAAGCAAACGTCGCACCCAAAAAAATACACCTGCTAAATCACACATTTTCACAAAAAATACACGGTGAAGCACAGGGTTCTCACTCCGGGCCCATATTTTTCCTTGTTTATTTCAATGATTGTAGAATATTCAAGGATTGTTTTTTCTATTGGCAGATGATTTGAATTTTTTTTAACTTCGTGTTAGCTCACGGTTGTGTTAGTTTACAGGGGGAACTGTACTACTTCATTGTGGTGTGAGAATCGTCTTCCTTTGAACAGTAACAAACGCAAGGTAATTAAATTTACTAAAAATATCTTACCTCGTGGCTTAGATTGTTTTGAATATTTCGTTGAAGGGCAGAGATTTGAAGAGGTTGATACTATCTCCGACTTTGGTGTCGTTGTCAATAGAAAGATCGATTTCAGCGACCATATCAAGCAAATTCGAAGAAAAGATCAACGCAATCTTGCTTTTATTACTAGGTTTTCTGGAAATTTTAAAAATGCCTTGGTAGTTAAAATATTATATCATTTCCTCGTGCGTAGCCATTTGGAATATGAAAATATCGTGTGTACCCCCTTTTCTTCAGAACAGAATATGGACTAAACTCCTCTCTACCGAGGATGATGAGATTGCTGAATCATTTTTTTTACGAGGTTTCGCAACAGCAGAGGTTATATCAACCCTCGGGGTGCCGGTGTTTTTGGAAAAAAGCCATGTATGAATGTATGTCGGGTTCGAATGCAGGGCCGCTGGATTCGAACCCGGGACCTTTACCTTACAGTGACGCCTAAACCGTTGCGGCCACCGACGCCCCATGAATCATTATTCCAATGAAATATGTGTACACGACTCCTTGAATTATGTCAAGCCAAATTAAAACGCATACTTGCCAGGAACCCATAAGCCATGTGTTTTTAGTATTATTGTTTAATTAAACAATTGGGGTTTTTTTGTGATTATGTGGTCTTGCAGATCCATGAAAAATCAGTTTGAGTTAAAAATAAATAAATAAAATGAATAAATAAACGCCAAGGAACTGACAGGCGCGAAAGTGAATAAATACAATATTTTACTGAGATAAATTATGTTAACATTTTTTCAACTGACGAAAATTCATTTTATTATTTGTTATTACATTAA